CAGTGTATTTTTGTTTTTGCCTAATGACAGTAGGGCTGGTATTTGTTTGCTGCTCTCTCTATGCAGAAAGTTTTACTCCTCTTTAATGACAGAACAAATTCAGTGTTGCCTATGTGAAGCTATGTTTCATTTTAGTGCTTTGTTTCTTGTGAATCTTCAAATTAGTGTGTGATCATTGTTTATTTACAGAGAGTTTGTGCAAAACAGGTTCGAGTTTGAGAGAAAAGTTGAACCTTTTGAGAGCAAGGTTGGGGAGGTTTGTGTGCCATTTGCACTTGGAAGCTTGGTGGTGGAACTTGTTCGGGTTCGATGTGTTGCATACAGCACATGTGGAGGTTTGCTGGCCTCATGGGAGGGGAGCAGTTTGTGATAAAAAGCGTGTAAGTGAGGTGCCAATGCATCGCACTACTCAGTGGAGTTTGGGTTTTTTTCCATTCTCAGTTTAATCTCGGATCACTCAGTTTACTTACATAGTCAGTAAAATCTTTGGGTTAGGAACTGCCATTCGAGATATGCTGTTTAGGTTTGTGTGAGAGATGGTGAGAAAATGTGGAAAGGGGGCAGGAGTTGATTTGCTTGCAAGTTACTTATTGGTGGCAGTTGAGATTTTAGAAAAAGTTAGTTATTATTGTTGTCACATTGGCAGGGGAGAGTTATTTTGTGATTGATTGCTGCTTAGCTTTCTAAACTTCTTTATGCCTGCAAAGTTTGATTTAATGCAAAAACCTCTCGCTGTGTGCCTGGTACAGAGGGGAGTGCTGAAGAGAGGTTGCTAATCGAAGTAGCCCTGGGCTAATTTTACATCTCAAGTTGTGTCCTTCCGTGTGGGGGAGGCAGGGAAAGCAGAGGTTTGGAGGGATTCTGTCCGGGTTTTGGGCTTGGCAGAGTGGTTTGGAGTGTGGGAAGCCTTGGCCATGCATGGAAGGTCGGGTCTTTTTGGTGTCGTTCTAGTAGTGGTTTGGGATATTGAGTTGATCAGCATTAGTGGTGGTCGCAGATCGGGTTTCCCGCGGCCAGAATCTGCCGTGGTTGCGTGCGGGGGAGGGCCGTGATTGAGGGGTGGCTTCTGGTGCCGCAAGGGCTGCAGGAATCGCGGTATACCCATGTAAAAGAAAAACAGGACCGAAAGGGAGGCGGAGGCAGGAGTGCCAGAGAGAGTCGTTAGGCTGGAACAATGCCGATCTGGACAGTCGCCGTGGCGGTTGCTCAGACGGCAGGAGGACCCCGAACAGGGCCCGGGGAAGAAACACCTTGTATTGTCCTGTACCTTGCAGACAAATCTTTAAAAATTGCTGAATGACTTTTTGTATCAAACGTTTTCCTGTTGCACCAAAGAGTTTTGGTAAAAAGGGTAGAGGAGGAAAGAAAAAACTGCTTTTGAGACTAAAGTTTTACCTTTGTAAGGAGAGAGATGAAGTCTAAGAGATAATACAAAGAGAATCATCAGTTGCCTAGTAACCAAGTAGAGGCCTTAATCACTCCAGCCAGAAAAATTTTCAAAGTTTAACAGCTGGGTAGAGAAGACGCCCTTGTCTTCTGTCCCTGTCCTACGGGGAGAGAAAGCAGAAACTTTTCTCCTACTTTACAAAATCTGTAACCCTGCAACTTTTTCGTTGGGTTTGTGGGAAGCATTGCCTAAGTCAAAAAGACATTCAAGTAACTGCATGTACACAAACCAACCCACGGAGGGGGGTTTTTCCTCCACCAAATGTATTACATCTTTAAAATTACTTTTTCACTGTATCTCAATACCATGGAATGCACTAGGTGTAGCTTTAACGCAGAATCTTACAGAATGTGTTGCCGAGCAATAAAGACACTGTTACAGAGTGCCTTGCTTGCACCGGAGTTGGAACAGGCGGTAAACAAGCAGGGGGGAACAGAGAAAATAACATTTTTACTGCGGCTTGCTACTCAAGCAGAGGCTGCTTCTAATCACACAGACTGCTTCAAACTAAAACTTAGTTATTAACCTGTTTGGTTTCGTTCCACAACAGTCACCACAATTGTAAAAATGATCTATTTACCTTTTAACTGACCAGCCTTTGTCTTTCAGAGAACCTTTACAAATTTCACAGGACAAAGAAGTCACCTCTTGAGCCACAAAACACTGCAATCTTTACCAATCAACAGAAGACGCTGGAGCAGATTGTAATAGTAACTTATCTGTTTATTTTCCTAAGTACCGACTATGGATATAGTGTCC